ACAGTTAACGCCGACATCTGCCACAGACCACCGACAACTCGACTGATAGACAACACCCCCATTTCTAATTGCCGTAACAAACTTAGCTAACACAACATTCAAACAGACAACAGGAACCGTTAAGTTCCGTTTGACAAACCTGCCTCACACCCCAAACGTATTCAAAATAGATAGCCAAAGTGCAAGGGTTGCAAATAGCAAATGATTGTCCCCGCTAATGTGAGACCGGTCGTAATTTAATACGACACATCCCTCGTTAAGACTTTTATGTCTTCATTCAGATTGAAGCACTACAGATATTTAGAACAAAAACAACAATACTGCAGTAGAAAATTTCCCAGAAAGTTTGCCACCTCATTTAATTAACATGTGCAAATATTAAAAGATTTACTGTATGCGTTTTGAGATTTTATCGAGAAATGCAAACTACATTGAACTTTTACCCCTAACGAAAATTCACCCTCCGTTACTTTAGGTTATGTAAAGTACTAAGTGAAATCTTGACAAAACCCTTGGGTGTAAGATCGACTTTCGAAGTGTGCAGTTGTTCAAAAGCGTTGTCAATATGGAGCTAAATATCGAGTTAGATAGCTTAGGGTCGGTGGCCAGGTGCGCACTGAGACGGTCTCCGTGGGGCGCAGTCGCGGGGCCGCCGAGGACAAAGGCCGCGGGACGTCTTCGCGTATTGTCGCCGATCAGCTGTCGCGGTTCCTCTACTTAACTCGTAAGCCACGACCGTGACACTGTTACACAAATCTTAATTTCTATACTAGTATTTTTATATGACAAGCATTCAATTTCATACAGCTTTTAGATCTTCGATAGTGTTCAATTTGATATTTTTTTTAGGTTCTAAAAATGGAACTGAATATACAATATATATTATATTATAATAATAATAAAAATATATATTATGTAAAAGTGTACGAAAATTGCAGTGAAATATGCAAATTCTAAAATATACAATCCAAGTATGAATTAAAAAACAAAACAAAATAAAAATAACAAAGGTCAACGAAATCGAAACCCATTCTTTTCAACTACTTAAAGACCAACTTGGTACTCGAATTTCAATAAAATTATATGGCAAAATGGCCGTAAATTAAACCCGAGTGTTAAGATCAAAGGGTCGAAGGGTTAAGAAGTGTTATTAACCTGTTAACACCTCCGGTAATTCACGATCGGTTACTGGCAATTATGTCACTTCCGGAGTCCTGACGACGTGGGTATGACCGTCATAAACCAAACCTTTCCTTACAATTCTCGCCACCATGGAGCGGTTAGATTGTTGATAGATAATGAATGCTTTAACACGATCTTGTAAACAGAAACTTGTTTCATAAAAAGAATCTCAAGAAAGAAATGCAAATTTTGGGTTCATAACTATGATACGTATATCAAACATTAATTTAAACTTTTCTAAATTATAAAGCTTTTAGTATGGAAAGACAAGGAGTCTAGTAAAATTCGGTGATTGCTGGTTACTAATAAAATGCCGGTTAAAAATAATAAAAAATACTATGAATATTAAGACCTTTCCGTTTCATACAAAAAAAAATTGACTTTAAATACTTTCCAGGTGCGAGTAATAAAATTCGACATACAAAATACATTGAAAAAATTACCAAAAAAATAATTGCAACATGAAATTTGACAATAGGAGTGGCAACTAGCCAGGGGTCAGAGGGATAGGGGCAGGCAGTGAGGGTTGGCACAAGGTGTGCGATATCAGTGCTACGGCATGTGCGTTCCGATACACGCACCGGCCCTCTAGCTTTGTACCATGCCATGCGCGCACGCACTCAAATCCATTACAAACATAGGGACATACCTCCCTGTATTGTAATGCATTAAAATTGCTCCCTATCGCCGTAAAGTTATTTATTCGAGGCGTAACAATCATTAAAATTTTCAAATTTTTTTATGCTAAAATGATATGGTACTGCTTAGAAACTATCTACACAGAGCTCGTTTACCCTAATCCTCGTAATATTAATGTGTGATTTGGGGCATCCTAAAGTAATGACCCTACTTCATACGTAAATTTGGACAACATAATTGGAAAAATAATTCCCACATAAAGTACTAATAAATATTTACAATGACATTCATTTTAAACGTTTAAATTAAATAAACACCAAGTAATTATTATTGATTAATGTTAATGAACGCAAAGCCAAGACAAAAAATATGTGGCATTCAACCCGCATACTGAGTCAAACTTACACGATTTATGTTTTGCTTAATAATGTCGACATTTTGTGTTGGATGAAAGACCCTGACAAGACGATAAAATGTATTTAGACAGAGAATTAATGACTTACTACGCCCTTAAATGACTTCGGCACTATGTTTTGTACATGATAACTAAAGTCGGCCTTGAAAAGGTTTCCATAACCAGGCTTCCATAACCACTTTTAAGTATATCCATGATAAAAGACCTTGAAAGATATTGTTGGTTAATAATTTGATGTGTCTATACAATGTAGTTCACAGACCAGCTCTTCACAACTGGCAGCTTTTGTTTTTTTTATTTTTAAGATTAATGTTTTGTTACTCACCAGTATAGCAGACCGAGGTGAGAGTGAGTGCATGTGTCCGGACCAGAGCGTTGTCTCTGCCCCAGGACAGCCTCGCTAGGAATGGATCCACGAAGTCGAATGCTGTCGCGATAGACAACTGCCAATTCAATCTCTGCAGCAGCATCACCTCCCATTGCTGTAACAAATGTTAACATTTAATATACGCTGGTAACAGCATGTTAAGAGAAGTTCCTAGTTGACTTTAGATTTCAGTTCTCTCTTTGTGGCTTTGAGTGGAGGGAATACAATAGTAAAAGGTGAATATATAAAAGCTATTTATATGCAAAGAATAATTTTGAGGGTTCACATATTTATTTAAAAATATTGTTTCTCACATTATGTAATTGAGATGTTAAGACGACAGTTATATTGCATATGTAAAACTGTTATTTCCGCATTTATTACAAATTTTTGACCAGGAAAGCGATTAACCGACTTCCTCTCAAACTAGATTTACTAATTTAATGCAATCAACGAAAAATAATTTTTAGCCACGCATACTCTTAATGCTGTCAGAAATTCGGCAGCCAGGCGTGAATGTATTTGGTTCTTCGTAAACTACAACACCAAAAAATCAAAAACTTAACTTCACAACACAGACATGCCTATTTTATCTCCTTAAATATCTTGAAGACGTTTTAGATTCATTAATCCTACAACTCAAAGTATTCTTTGATTTCTAGAATACTTGATTCTTAGAGTATGTTGTTACATACTTGCGAATTCTGCAATTACATAATTTAGTTAACGATGTGTATCTTAAGAGGGACAAAGCCCTCCTCAATGTCTACTGACACTCAGCAATTGAATCGTAACCGTCATACACGACGAACCAGGCGGAAACCGCAAAAAATAGCAAAGTACCAAGATTGAAATGGAAAGGGCAAGCCGAAGAAACGGGTTCTGTATTTATTTATGCAGATAGCAAGATGCAAGGGTGGGCGATTACCGTTTGAATACGGTTAAACCTTTTGTTGCAAATCTACTTTGCTATTAAACAAGTCAGTTAAAATAATTAAAAGTTATTGTTTCAAAGACCGATATTGTTTTAGGCATGAACCCTGTAGAAGTTCATTAAACCCATAGATAATAGGAGCACAGATAAGACATCCAATGATCCATCGGAACAAAAATAAACATCCCCTTTTATACGATCTCTTATCATCTATGAATCCTCAAATTACTAATAAATTACGATAAGCAGATGATAAAACTTAAAAACAATTCATAAAGAAACAGTATATTATCGTAATTGTTAAATTTAAATTATTCGTGTGAAAGAAAACAGTTGGTTTATACTTCACGCACGATGAACTACGAAAAAGTTAAAGTGTGCAAAGGTGAAGTATGGGAAACGAATAGTTCCGTGGCATATGATGTCATTGTGTATGCGCGTCGTATGCTTATCGGTGTCATCGGACGAATTAATTGCAAGGAAGGATATCCCTACGCCATAAGGTGCAAGTAGACCCACATTTAATTCAAAACCAGTTGCTTTCCCACGGTCTACGCAACAAATACACATCGCAATAAGTAAAAAAATATCTTAAGTTACTATGACCTATCAATTTATTATTTGTACAGCATCATATATATTTATTTAATATGTTTAAAAAATTAGGCAACAGATTTGATTAGTATATGTCATTGGATTCCAGAACTGATTTACAGCCTTTTTCGATCGTACGCATTTAAATTTGTCATCAATCAATATCAACGTCGTTGAAAGTTTTACAAGGAGGTGATAATCAAGTAGGTTAAATACATAATTATTTGGGCTATGTATTCAATATATAGTACATAAGTGACATGTGACAATGTATAACAACAATGGCGTGTGAAGCGACATGGAAGTCAAACACTCACGCGCATTAGCGGGCAATTGATGGAATCACACCTGTCTACCTGACCGCCGCAACGTGGAAATGCCTCCACTACGGTCACACAATATCACAATTACGGTGATATCAATTATTGTAATAAAATTTTATGGGAAAAGATAATAATACTTCAAGTTATACAACATTTTTTTTTTGATAAATTTAATCCAAGCGTAAAGTCTTCGCTTATAACTGGGGCATCGGCTAATAAGGCTAAATGCGTTAATTACGTGAACATTTAGTGATATGAGGAAGCTTCTTATCACACATATCAGAGCATCTACCCACATTTCCGACGGAAGCGGGCGGCCTATTGAATAGTCGTCACAGACTGCAGCTACTTGTAAGAAGGGCGACAAATTGTTGGTGGGCCTTAGATCGTGACAGTCGCGGAAGAAGGTAATTACCGGAAACTCACAGGCGACTTTAAGGAAGCGGCCAATATAATGCCACCTTAGTTAAGGGGCGAAGCAATGACATTTGACTCGAGTCTGCCAATCGAGTTCGTTCACAGGAGAATCACAACACTGGATAGTCTTGCGGTCGACGCAGGATGTAAGGTGAAGGGCTGCGCTCTAAGACGTCGATTTATAAACAAGCGGTATTTGATCCATGACAACGCAATGCGAAAATTTAACATAGTTTTTATAAGCGTAACCTTGACAAAAATAGTTGCCGATTTATAGATTATGTCAAACAGCTCTAAAATATACAAATTTTCTTTTTTAATCCTTAATCTTGATATATCTAACATATTTAGAAAAATCGTAGTAATAAACAATTCTTACCCTGACTTCATTAGGATAAACAGAGTTGTCTGTGTAAGCACAGAGCAGATCAACAGACAGCGGGTGACACTGCCTGAACTTGGAGGCCAGGAGCAACGCGGTGACAGCGAGTAGTTGCAGCTGCTGCCGCGAGATGGCGCGGTGCGACAGGAACCGGTCCATGTAGCTCACCGCTAGTGGGAACACCTGCTCCTCGCATTGTTGTTCCTCGCACACCTATTGTAAACAAAAATATTATAACGTGGCACGTATAAACGTAAATAAACTTTACCATGTGCGTAAAACCTTGACTTGTATTTACGCAATTTTATTTTCAAATCTTAGAACTGTTTTGAAATGTTCAACTTTTTAACTTTGGGGCAAAAGCCTTTAAGGATAAGGGTCTTGTTAATTTTTATGGATGTAATTGATTATTACTTGATTGTATCTATTGAAAGTAAATAAAAAACAAAGTTATTTTGTATACTATTTTAACGTATGAGGTTCTACGGTTATTACGACTACCTAAACTACCTAGAAAGCATGTTTTGCATGCCGTAACTCAGTACTGAGTATTTATAAAATATTTTTTTATATGGATATTAAAGTAGTTACAGCTAAACTTGCTATCCAAAAACGATGTTTTAGATTAATCATCTGTTTACGTCTGTAATAACATCTAATAAAAAAATGCACGTAACGAGGGTACTTTTAAATACAATACTGTAAACAAAGTCGCACTTTCGTAATATGATTTTAATAAACATTTCCCATGTAAATTAACGGCACTTTGTCGGTTTGAATGTAAATTTCCAATGTAAGCCGATAACAAAGCTTAAAAGCCCCGCAATTGTAGGTCATTGACACCACATTAATCAGCTGTTGATGCAAGTAAGATGAACGACGTCTTCACACGATTTACTTACAACTACGAAAGTAAATCGTGAGAAAAATATATGTAGCTCATTTCTTACTTCGTAAAGAAAAAAGAAATTGATGAAACTTTTATTAAAAAAAAAATTAAATAATTTTATCGATGTAAATTTTTACCTCTAGCATCCATGTCGTGACAACTTTCCTCATGAACGGCTGTATATCAATCTGTACAGTTTGGAAGTAATCTGTGTGCAGAGCATGTGCTCGCTCCAATGTTAGGAGGTTCAGCATGAGTCGAGGGTCGCGGTCCAAGGCCCGATCGGGGCCGGCGACACACATGTCTACAGCTCTTCCGCTGCCCCCGCTGCGATTGCCAGAATTAGGCAGATTCTCGCCACAAGATAAATCCATTTTGGTCCACAATACACACTCAATCCATACACGTGTAGTTCCAATAAAGTTATAATAATTGTTTCAATAATAAAACTCGCGCAATATTTTTTTACGTAAGTTCTTCGTAATGACTTAAAGCACGTCGCCGCACTAACAGCAGCTCACGAGCGACTACGGAGTGAAGCTATGCGCTTGCGTCGGAACTCGGCTACGCACCACAATTGTTATTGTAACCCCTCCCTTGGCCCTTATTATAGGCATACCATGATAGTGAAAAACATCGGACTCATCCTTATAAAAGCTCCTTTGATTTGATAACATTTTCTAAGCGTCACAATAACTGTTACTACATAATATTATACTCTAAATTTAGTGATGTCGTAGGTTATTATATAAAAATGAGAGTCAAGTATTCATTTTGATTTCGAGAGTTTATTATTCTGTTTTATTAAATTTGTGCATAGAGGCAATTCTTCTAATTCATTATTTAAATTAGTAAAACCAATATTTGCTTAATATTTCACAATAATAAAATAATAGCGCGGGACAGATTGTAAGGCATGGTTATCCTACTAAGGGTTGCTTTTTATTCTAAAGTATTTTTTGTAATCATTTAATTTAGAATGTTGGCAAAAATATTATAGAAATACATCGAAATGGTTTAAACTATAATACAATAACAAAATAACTATTTAAGAATGTTATTCATTTCCATTAAATACAATTAATTACGAATAGATGTCTTTTTTATTTTAATGATGTTTGATATTCCTAATTGCTACCCTATTATGTATTTTATTAAATTTAGAAGAAAGGTCTAATAACATCTATTGGTTGGTAGGAAACCCAAACTCCTATGTGTTCCCTGGACAATTCTAAAATATATATTTTGTCAACAGCGGTAGAGTCACTATTTGATGGTTTAAATTACTTTACGAGATTACTGAATATCGGCGGTACGTTCATATACTAAAACTATTTTACGAGAAGGTAAAACAATTTGCAATCATTTTAACATTCTTATATTATTTCTTTTTTCGATCTTTAAATCTTCATATACTTATTTTATTGTTTAGGGTCAATCAGTAGTCCCGCATGATTTTTTACATCTTTCCAATAAATTGCTTATTTTTTTTTTCTTATAGTCTATACAGGGTGCTTTCATCCAACTATCTTTTGTTTCATCTAAACAATTGTACAAAGCATTTACATTTACTAAACTTTTTTCTTAACTAAATCGTTTTACACTCCGATAGTTTTACAAATGAAACACCGGTTCCAATTTTACGATTATATTTTTTACAGCCTTAACATAACAATTGTACGAATAAAATAATAACACATTAAAATTGTAATTCCAACAATGGGAGGTGTTTTATTCGGAGGGCGATGGAACGTAGCGAGAGGGCTGAGGGCAGCTGCGCACGCGCCGCGCCGCCGGGTGCACGGAGGCCGGTTGACATTGCTTTGTAAATCCTAACACACCTGATCTCCGAGACTAGTCATTATTACAACTCCATTCTCTTTACAGATTTCCATTGTAATGCACGCGTGCTCAAAGCGTGTTCTTATTAAAATTCAAATTACCCGATTTTGTTAACACCACCTGGCGTAGTACTATTGTATTCCATACTGACCAAATCTTAAAATACATCATTGATTTTAAATAACGTCGTCGAGGTTCTACTTTACAAGGCTCAGGACAATTTCGTAAATAAGTTTTTATTCGTCTTGATTTACTAACATTTTTTATCATTTATAAATGCATTTCTGTAGAATGGAATAACCTTAACGACAACCTTCCAGTCTGTGAGATAAACCATCCCGAGGAATCCAGTTATGCCATAAGCCACCGCTGAAGGAATAAACGAAATTAACTGTTGCGAAAGCTTCTTACCAATAGCCATCTCTGATAATGTTTTTTTTATAAATATTTGTACTAAGGTGTAAAATATATTCCTTGTAATAATGATATATAATGGAGAAAGATAATCAAAAGCTTTGTCAAAAAATGTTGCTTTACAAATTATAATTTGATATAGTACCAATAAAGTACTTCCAATAGTAAAATCACAAATCGCTACCAAAACAAATAATTTTGACATCTAATAGGACGTATAAAAATAAATGTATCGATGGCTAAAATACCAAAAAGGTTGCACACATTTTTACAGTGTCTCATCATATTAAGAACCCAGCACGGCATGCAATTGTTAAATTAGTGCTACCACAAGCTAACCACTAATTACAATGTTTCTAATTTGTCAACCCAGCCCATTCCCATCTCTCATTATCGTTTTAAGTGAACTGGAACTAAACCAAATTTAATTGTAGCCCTTGCATAGTTGTGCGGTTCCCACATTTTTATATAATAATAGTGCGACATCTTTGCTGTTTTAATTGAGCATTTGTATTGATAGACAAATGACTGGATTACAGTATGAGCGTTTGTTTTATCTGGCCTTATCAGTCTTGAGGTAAAATATGGGTTAGCTTATTATACGTTGTGTTAACGATTAAGAAACACATATCAAATAGAATATATACTTTAAGGGCCATCCTGCACAAACTAAACCCTTTTTATCTTATATAACTTGTTTTAAAATCTGATTCATATCAGTTAAGCATAACTTTTCTTTGAACTTTGATGTACTTTGACATGACAGTGACACTGACATTTTGTTTACAACTGACATATTAAAACAAAACAATCTATCAGAAAAACAAAGTCGACTGATTTATTTTCAACTAAAATCTTTTAAGTGCAAATGTTATGTGAGCTTAATTTATTTCTCGTTAATTAATAATGGCTTCAGAAAAAGACCCACTTATAAGTGAACGCTCTGGAACTGTTAGAGAAGTTGGAAACCATGCTATTTGGAGTCTTTCATCTTGCAAACCGGGTTAGTTTTTCGAAGTCCTAACTATCTATGCAATGTAAAGGAATTAAACCTTAGTTGATTTTTTTTAGGTTTTGGAATTGATCAATTGAGAGATGATTGTATGGACACCTATTGGCAATCAGATGGGCAACTACCGCATCTCGTAAACATCCAGTTTCAAAGAAAAACTATGGTGTCCCACATTTATATCTATACAGATTATAAATTAGACGAAAGCTATACTCCCAGTAGAATATCCATTCGTGCTGGAACACACTTTAATGATCTTCAAGAGATAGAAGTTATTGAACTGATTGAACCTAGTGGTGAGTACACAAATGGGTGTTTTGAACGTCAAACGTTACTATCTTAACTAAGTATCTATTACTGATGTTATATATTTTTTACGAAAAAAATCAAGATTGTGATTATTTATTAACTTTTACATCTGAAAGTATTTTACCACAATACTTTTTATTATTTGTATTTTAGGTGCAATGACATATGTGAATGTAGGGGATGACATACATACATAATTTTGTTGCAGGTTGGGAAATGATACCAATAAAAGATATTCATGACAGACCTATAAGAACTTACATGATTCAAATTGCTGTCCTAAGCAACCACCAAAATGGACGGGACACTCATATGAGGCAAATCAAAATTCATTCCCCTTGTGAACCTACATCATTTGATCTTAATAAACTGCAGAATTTTTCAACAGTAAAGTTCCAGCAGTATGCTACTATTCGTTAAATGAAAAGAAAAATATAAAAAGATAAATAAATGTATATTTCAAAGCCAATATGTGTTAAATATTTTATTATAATAGTCATGAATTATAACTACCAAAATACACAAAAAGAGATTGTCATCCCTTTCATTCTGTTTGAATAGACAGAGATAACAAGATGTTTTTGTATGTACAATGGAAACTCATAGTAATTTAGCTTATTTTATACAAATATACATTATTCAGATTCTTCACTCTCTTCACTTGCTTCTTGAAGCCATTCAAAGAACTTTACTAATGAAGTTTGATTGATGAGTGGACTTTCATTATCTTTTAAATCATCATACCACTCGACTAATGAATCTTCATCAACAACATCTGTCTCATACAGAAGATGTAGAATTTGTCCTGCTTTACCCTCCAGCCAGTCACACTTTATACAACTTTCCTGTAAAAAAATAATTCAATCATCATTATTACTGTAATAACTAGTTGTAAAATAAAATAACATTGGATACCCATAATTTTCAAACACCTATCTATGATTTTTATATATATATAGTATTAAATGTCTTATTATTATACTCCATTGCATATGTCAGAGATGTAAAACAAAATCTCATTTCAAAATATCAATGACCTTTATTGAATGCACAATGGAAAAGTTCATTTGTTATATAACTTATTAAATCTTACCTCAACTGCTCTTAAGCAATCCATTATTGATGATTTAGTCTTGATGTAATTTGACAAAATTGGCCGGAAGAACTTTAATATATCTTTGACAGTAACCAGAACACTTTTACTATCAACAAGGATAGGTATGCTGAGCATAGCTCTGATAACAAAGAAATTAACTTCATGTAATTGTATATTGTAAGCATATCTGGAAGAGTTTATTTCTAAAATTAAGTAATCACATTTCAATTTTTCTTCATATCCTCTCGCAAGACTGTCAATAACTTCTTGTAAGAAAACTGAAAAATAGAAGATATAACAATTAAAATAGAGCTAATAATTTGTGTGTATTAAAAATGTCATTTCAATCATTAACTTACTATTGGTGTCTTCTGGAACTGGTGACTCAGGTAAGGAAGATTGTGCACTGCTATCTGATGAATAACAAGATTCACTATCGCTCCACACTTTATCAAACCCTACAAACTCATCATCTCCGCTGCCATCGGACTCATTTTCCCACTCAGTGCCACTTTCCGAAGTTGATTTCACCAAATTCTTATCTATTAACAATTAGCACATTATTAAATAAAATTGAAACTAAAAAGAGAACAGTTTATTTCAAAAGAGTTATGAATAGAATACTTACCATTCTTATCTTGTTCAGAACACTCAATAACGGCACCTTTTAACTTACTTCCTTCATTTATATTCACATTTTCAGCTATAATGGTACCATTTTCAATAAGTGAATCTGCATTTACAATGCAATTGTTGTCAATAAAGGAATTAATAATTTTACAATTATCTTTGATGGTAACATTGTCCATAATTTGGCTTCCTACTAAGGTAACATTGTTTCCAATTTTACAATTATTACCAATCATAGTTTTTGTTATTGTTGTATTATCATAAATTTCGGTATCAGCGCCTAT